GGGACGTGGTTTGCTGCAGCTGGCGAGGGACAAGGGGGTACGAGGGTGAGCGAGGGCAGCCGGGACCCTTAGAGAGCCAGTGCCTGCAGCCGGCGGGATGACCCTCCTGGTTTTCTTGGGCAAGATATGAGAGGGAAAGCACCGAGCCAGAGAGAACAAACGAGCTCCCCCAGCCACACACCACAAAAATGGAGAAAAACCTCCTTCAGCTCCTGCTGCAGCGCTGCTGACGGCTTCAGGAACATAAAATTCCTCCCACCAGCTCCCTGCTGCAAGTCTGGCAATAAATAAGGAATTAAACCCTGTCCTGGGAGTCATTTGACTGAGCTGCAATTCGTTTTGCGTGGAGCAGCTACGCTGTCCTCACCGCTGGGTTCCCTTCAGATGCAGCCACACACGAAATCAGCTTTCCCTTGCTCGACCCCACCACTGCCTGACCACTGGCTGCTCCCACCTTCCCCGTTTCATTCCCCAGGAATGTTTTTTTCCAGGGCAGTGAATGCTCTCAAGCATTTGTCAAACCGCTCTCCCTAGGACTCCCAAAGAACGCAGCACGGGCTGCGCTGTGCAGAGCTGGGGGTGAATTCAGCCTCAGTGGGTTTTGCACTATTTGACTTGCCTTGGGGGCCAAATCCTGCCACGTAGTGGGGCAGATGAAGACCTGCCAGAGGGGACAGGCACACACAGAACAGGGCACGGCAGCAGCAGCGTGCTGGGCTCGCCAGAGACCCTGTACTTATCAGGTGTCCCCCATGGTGTATCACAGGAGACGAGCAAGAAGACACCTAAATCTGCCACATTTTCCATCTCCAACCCCCCCGACGTCTCTCTGCAGTGGAGAAGGGCAGCAGCCCTGGTGCCTGAGGCTGGTTGCAGCCCCCTGCAACTGCAAACCTGCAGCCTACCTGCAGCACAACCTCCGGGTGCACATTCAGCTTTGAAACACAAGGATTTCTCTAACTTGCAAGCTGCAAGATGCAAAAAGTGAACCACCATCTGGACAGGACTGGCTTATCCACCCTCAAAACGATGATGAAGAAAACACATCAAAAGACATTTGGTGGCACTTGATCTTTCAGAAAGCCCAGTCTTTTGCTGTGCAGTTTCCTTCTTGTATCTCAAGGCACTGAAAAAACGAAAAATAATCACAGTCCTGTCACACTCACTGCTGCAGGTGATTTAGTCTCTCTTGCAAGCCCAGGCTCCTGGCATCAGCCTCGCCATGGCTGCTCATGCTGTGATTTCTCACCGATACATCCCTGGGAACCACCACCCAAAGTAGAGCCCCTGCACGGGCACGCTGGGGGAAGGAGGCTTTATCAGGACTGTGAGTGGTTCTCCATGCATCCACTCGCACGCTGCAATACACTGCTAAAGAGCTGAGAAGCTCATTTATTTGCAAGTGGGACATTCATAGCAACATGGGACATTCCTGCCCAAAGGGTTAGTGATGTTCACTGCAGCCTTCCTCTGCACCAGACAGGAGAGACTAAACCAGGATTTCTACTTAGCACTACCTCCCAAACCAAAGGCGCAGAGCTATTAACTGAGCAAGACAGAGAGAAATTTACCTCCTGGAGATCAAAGAGATGTGCCATTTCCCCCAAGGAGAAATTTCCTTCAAGGTCTCTCAATCTGGGCCCATCCCCAAGCTGGAAAAGCCAACCAAAGCCAACCGGAGCCAACTGTGCCATCAGTGGTGGGGCAAGAGGAGCCCTCCCGGGATGCCAAGCCCAGCAAACGCAGTTCAGAGCATCCCGGTGTTTCTTTTCACTGGATGCTGATGCTCCATGACTAGCACAGGCAAGCGAGGATTTGGAAGGCAAAAATACAGAGCACGTCCGAATGCATCAGAGCGTGCCTACGCCTGCCCTTCTCGCTGCTGGCAGAAGCCCTGCCACGCCTGACCCCATCCCCTCATTCCGAGAGAGAAACGAGACAAATATTTAGCCATTCGGCTAAAGAGAATGGCTTTCCTGAATGAATAAAAGGGTTGGCTTGCCAGAGATGTTTATTTTTAAATAAATACTCTCTAAGTGTCCTCCTTTCTTCAGAGCAGAAACAGCGTTGCTCTGAGCTGCCCTAACACGCACACAGACACACAAGGATTTCATTTCAGCTCAGTGAGAAGTAGACAGTATTTTTGCAGGAGTCCTACCAAGCCTCTGAATAAATCTGTTTTTCTCTTGCGCTGGCGCACCTTTTTCTTTCCATTTCTTGCAAATTTTCAGGCTGCTGTCTGCGACACGATGCGGGTGGTTTCTGGAGGTGTAGCGGAAAGCCCCACGCGGCTGGCAGGTTTGCTACAGGAACGGGGCACCACAGAGGCTCAGCTGCACAATTCTGGCTGCTCCCTGGACCTGTGGAAACAGCTCCTGGAAGATTTCCTTCAGTGGAAAAGGCAAACTTTTTCGAAGTAGATTTTGGGATAATCATAAAAAACACCCATTCCTCTCCAAAATTAGAAGCAACACTCTAGCTACCACTAAAGGACTGTGACGTAGAGCTAATTGGTAAATGATCATTTGTTTGGTTGCATTAATTGAGGCTGAGAGCAGCTTTTCTGCAGCCTCGCCCCGCTCGCTCCCACCACCTTGGGCATTACTAGAATAAACCCAACAACCTGCAGGATTAGCCAACTGTCTCTCCCTCCCTAAATTATTCTTAACATACATTAAAATCAAATAACCCCATGTTTGCAGTCTTAGAGATCTTTGAGCACCATCCAAGTACTGCTTAGACCTCACAAGAGCCATGGGGATAAGGATTACCAGTACTCCCTTTTCTCCCAAGGCTAAGGTGACTTCCCCGAACATCCAGGTGTCCTGAGATCACCACTCCGCACAGGCTGGGGGCTC